GAGAAAATCCAAGTTAAAGTTTACGGGAATTGAATCAGAATTTACAGCACTCTTCAGAGTCATGAATTTCTATTGTTTAAATAAAATTTATACTCTTTATACCTTAACATCAAAAATATCTATCTTCTCATCTTCATCATCCTCATACACATTTTTCCTCATGACAAGGTCAATAATTTGCCAACCTTCAAAGACCTCAAGAGAAATCAAATGAAAGTGTTAAAATATTAATTCGAAGTAATATAGCCATTAGCTAATTACTTCTAGTACATACATTGGGTTGAGTATTTAAGTTCATACAGTAGTTTGGATGTTTGRGAAGCTAGAGGAAATTCCTAAGGAAGACTTTAATAGAGTGCACGGTTATGAAACTCTGAAACAACTACTAACTTATAATTCAGTGCAATAATAATATAGTTATCAACCATTTTTAGTCAATGACAAACTAAGCTTTCACAGGCAGGAACAAAACAAAAAAACACAAAGAAAGCTAGATAGGCTGCTATTGCTGTTTGCACTGCAGTTCTGCTTCAATGATAGTATTAGTTTGTACAAAATAGTGCAATTAGACGATGCATATTAATTACTTTAGTTTAACAGTTTTATGGTGTGCATTCTAGTATTTTTTTAAGTTTCAAGGAAATCAAGTAGATAAATTGGGGACAATTTCAATAAACAATTATTTTTGAGTATGTCACCTTTTTGAAACAGTCAATTTGTAATTCTGCAGCAAATTCAGCCACTGAGGACACTTTGTTTTCTGTTTTCCTTTGCTGTCTCTTCTTTAGCTTCTTTTTGGGAGGTGAACTTAAAGGCACATTATTTTCCATCTCAAGAAAACGATCTTCCACATCTTTCAACCATGCCTTCCAAGAAAGCATCTCTGTTTCTATGAATGCTTCAAATRCTACAAAAAAGAAAAAATAGCCTTTTTCATTCAAAATTGTTATCTCTGATTAGAAAATAAACCTTATGATGTCTTCAATCATGTTATTGGATCTTAAGAATATCAAGGGAAATTGGTTACCTGCAAAGTACAAAAAGGATACAAGTTTGGGATAGTTTGGTTTTATACAACACAACACAATCTAAATATGTGGCACATACCGATGTTCTCCTTCAGCAGAATTTCCTCTTGTCTGGTACCAYAATCTCTTCTGAATGTCCCCTTTTCAGCAATTTCTTCTAAATACTGGTAAAGATAAGATTAAGCATTAACATAATTTCTTATATTTAATAATATAATATCGTAATCATGATAATGATCTGATGAGGATGACTTAATGACAATTTATTAAATTAATTTATTTAATGGTATTTAGTACAAGACTTTTCAATTACCTTCACAACTGAATCTGCAAATGAAACAAACTTGAGGATGACATATTTTGCAGAGCCACTGACTTCACTGTAATGTAGTGCTACCTTCTCCACAGGCAAAGATTGAGAAACAATATCTTCATAATTATCAAGGTATGCTTTGGCTGTTGATCCTGTATCAAAAATTGAAAATACACTTTTGAAAATTATTATTCAATATTTTGTGTGGATGAGCAACTTAAAAAATACTAGATTTACCTGAAAAGGATTTTACGACTACATTACTTTTTGAAACAGCAGTCGTTTGACCTTCCTTTTTTTTAATCATTATTCGGTCCTTTCCCCTGGATGCTTCAGGAC